TTTATCTCCATGCACACTATGGTTCCCCAATTCAAACAGAAGTCATCTTTTCTAGGGACTCTGACACTAGGCTCCTAAATGGTCCCCCCACATGCACTCTTGCCCCCATTCAATCTACCATGTGCTCCTGCCACAGTGACTTGTTATAATGCGAACCATAGATCATCCTGTTTCAACTCCATCACTCGTTTCCCACTGCCTGAGAATAATAGCTGAAGTCCCAACGCCTTCATGTTGCTGCTCAGACTTTCCCACTTGAGACTTCATAGACAGCATGGCTGCTATCCCTGGGGGCCTGGAATGTTCCTATCACCTGGGCAACTCCTCTTCCTCTTTAAGGTGCTATTTGTGCACCCTCCCTTGGGAAGTATCCCTGGAAGTCTCTCTGTGGGAGAGGGCCTCTCGCTATTTACCTCCTCTGCAGTGACACGAGGACTGCACAGTACACGCCACACTCATGAGGTTCCGACCAGTGATCTGTATGTGCTCTTCTAAAGCGTGCATTTCACGCTGGACTAGAAGAAGCTCGGTAAGGGCATGGAATATGCTTGTTTTACTTGCCTACATATATCCGAGCGTCAGCACAGAGACAGCTGATGACAACTCACACCTACTGACTTGAATTTTACATAAACTGCATCAGTGTGAGATTCCTCATTGTAAATAATAATTAAAGTTCTTAACTATTTGAACTTGCATCTTTGCACTGAATTGAGCCTGGTTTCTTTGCTTATTTTTATTATGGTTACACTGTTCTCTTCAATAATTCTCCTGACAGCTAATGAAGTCTGTTTTAATTTTTATTAATTAATGTGCTTTGGCAGATTTATGTTCTATTTCAAACACATAATCAAAAAATTAGAAGGGAAAAAAAAAAGGAAGAAAGGAGATTTTATCAACACTACTAATCTAATGGTCAAGATGTGATTTTCTTCCCCTTTATTAAAATTAGTTTAGTTTCTGACTTTTTTAAAAAAAAAATTTCTGACCTTTTTTGATAGAAATACTTTCAACCTTTTGCAGAAAGTGCAAAGAACTATGACACTTGGCTCCAGAAAGAAAACCAGCAGAGGAGCATAAGAACATACAAGTAGAAATGGGTTAGAAAATGTTACATTTTGGTCTCTGGGCATGACTATTGGCCAAGTCCCTGTACACCTTCATTTTCACATGAGTGCCTGGCTGTGATAGAGTGGTGGGGTGAAAGGCCGGGACTCTGGCTGCACACCAACAACACTCCTGCTTCTGTGTTTGGATGAGGAGTGTTGAGACCTCGAAACCATTCTTTAATGATCTAGGATTACTTTAAGGTCTTTGATCAGGCCTAACAAAAACCTCTTTCCCAGAACCGTGTCTGGCTGAGCTGAGGATCTGCCTGTGATCAGAATGGGCCCACCACGTGGGAAGAGCTCAGTGGTGTGTCGGGGCCAGCATGGACTCTGTCCCGCCATCCTTGTCCAGCTCAAACAGGCGCGCTGTGCCATGGCCAGATGAGCAAGGGGTGGCACTACTCTCCAGGAACAGTCACACCAACAGTTACTTGTGACCTGCTGCAGGTGCTGTCCTGTCAGCGACCTCCCTGGGCCACGTCCGGATGTCTCTTGATAAAAATGAAACGATGCTTTAACATCTTTGAGTAAAATAAGACACAATGCAAGGTATTATTTTACAATATGACAAGCCTGAAAAACTTGAGATCTTTGAGCCCCATATAGCTGACAACACAGGGTGAGGACCCCTTTCTTGACCTAGAGGCAACAATCTAGAACTCAGAGGATTCCCATCAGTCACCCCGCAGTGAATGCCTGACTGCTGAGAGCCCCTGCGCCCTCCTGGCCCCGTGAGGCCTGCTGAGCGTCCCTCCTGAGTCTGACCTTCAGTCCCTACTCCTCGTCTCCCACTGCCACTGTCCCGTTTCAAGGGGCACTTCTCTACTAGCTTTCTAATTACACGCTCTACTGCCAGAACAGTCTCTTAACATCCAATTAGTTTGGCTTTTTCTTTAGAGGTTTCTCCCTGATGTCAGCATCTGTAGGTATGCTTCTTTCCTCTCTGCCCACCCCTCCACCCTGCCTTCCCTGGCCCTCCCTCGGGCCTACATTTCAGCCAAAAGAGAGTGACTGGTAGCACCCAAGAACACTGTGCTCTTGCCAATCTCCTGAGCCTAGATGGCTCTTCTTACTTCTTTTTCATGAACTCAACACTCACTTAACCCCAAAGACCTCAGGGAAGCATCTCCAGAGGGGTCCCCTGGACTACCTTCCACCTGCTTCCATAGCCTTTGCCATCAGGCTCTCTAATTACAGTCTAGTTTTTGTCTCACACTAGCTTGTGAGGAATCTGAGGACAATGACTGTGTCCTTTTATTTCTGTGACTGGGAATGGTGGTGGAGGTCCACCAGGGAAAGGCCAAAGTGGGAAGAGAAGTAAGTGCTGGTCAGACCCTGGGTGTGCCCCAGACTACAGAGAGGCAAAGAGGTGTGGGAGGGCAGCTGGCAGTGTCACAGCAAGAAGCAATGGTCACAATGTCAGATGCCGCTGAAAGGTTAAGAATGACAAGGTTTAAGACATGTACCAGCAGCCTATGGCCACCTCAGGGAGAGCAGTTTAAGTGGAGTAATAAAGATAAATCAGACTGCAGGAACAAGGTACAGGGAAGCAAATGGAAGGTGAAGAATTTGAAGGAGCTGGGAAAATGATATTCTTTTAAGAAACACTGCTGTTTGCTACAACCTGGATGAACCTTTGGGACATTATGTTGAATGATATAAGGCAGTCACCAAAGGACACACACTGTGTGATTCCACTCACATGAGTCAGTGCAGTCACATTCACACAGGAGGATGGTCGCTGGGCTGGGCTGGGGGTGGGCGTGGGCAGCTGCTGTCTGTGGGAATGGGGTTTCAGTTTCACAGAGGAGAAACGTTCTGTGATAGCTGTCCAACAATGCGAAATATTCAATGCTACTGAAGAGCACATTTCAAAATGGTTAAAATCACTGATTTTGTTATGTGTGTCTCACCACATAAGCACCACTGTTAAGGGAATAAGATGGGAACCGCCACAACAGAACATAGGATTCAGAGGGTGTTGTTTTTCTTCCCCTTCATCGGAAAGTGAGATGAGATGGTTTATTTTTTTTAACAGAGAGGCAAGAACCTTGAGCACGTTAATAAATTGAGAAAAGTAAGTTAGCCAAAAGGGAGGCAAAGGGAATAATTTTGGTGTGGAGACACTCAAGAGAATTAGCCTGGGGACAGAGGCAGGCAGGCTCCTGCCCCAGAGATGAGGATGGGAGAGAGGAAGAGAAGAAAAATATGCTTTCTGAGAGGTGGGGAGGATGCAGAGTGGACAAAAACCCCCCCAAAACAAAAAACAAATTATATATATGTTAAAAAGCTTCTAGCTGATAGCTTCTGAAAGAGCAAGCAGGGGGCTTAGGGTGATGCAGGTCTGCGAAGGCTGTTTAGGGAAGAGGAGTGCACTGTGGACACGGATAGAGACTATTAGACAGTGCCAGGAGTCTGGACAGGAAATCGTGACCTTGCCATGGCAATGAGGGTCCGTGCCTCATGGCAGCATGACTCCTATAGATCCAGGGCTGGCAAGGAGAAAAATGGATGGCTAGTGGGGTCAAACAGGCTTGCCAATAAGGCAAGACATTCTCACCAGCAGAATGGAGGGTGGTGGGGAGCAGCCGCTGAAGTGCAACACCACTGGGAAGAGAGCAATCTGGGGGCTGAGATGAAGGATAATGGTGGGGGGGATCCAGTACCAGAATCCTCAACAAGGCAAAGGGCAAGAGGGGTGAAGGAGAGGTGTAGGGGAGCTGTGATGAGGAGGCTGAGGACATCAGGGGAGCAGAGGCCTAAGGTTTCTGAGGTGGGACAGCTTGGGTTTCTGCCAAGCCCAGGCTTGGCCAGAGTGTAGGTAGCTGAAAACAGAGATTCAGCCAGGAAGACCAGGGTCTTACCCACTGGGCATGCCTCTGTGCTTTCTCCTTGCCGGAGACACACATAATTAAGATTGTCTTTAGTGACTCTTTTTCCTTGGATTTAATTCTTCTCTGCTGTTTCTGATTCCAGCATTCCACTCTTTTTCTTCAGGAAAGCCCTTATGATCTAGGTACTACCCAATTTTACATCCTCTTTTTCCTACTTCTTACATGACACCCAAACTCAGCATTACTCATGCTCTACACTGAACCATGGGTTGGCAGCCTGCAGAAAACTCAAAGCCTGCTAAGAACCATGAAACAGTCAGTGATTCGCTTTCCAGGTTCAACATTTTATAGGGTCAATACCACGTATTAAAAATACTAGTAGAAAATTCATCATGATGATCTACTCAAGTCTTTCCAAGGCTCAGGATGAATGTTTCAGAGGACTTTGCTTAAAGGACCCTGAGTAGACTAGTAACATGAAGGGGACCTTGGGGTTTTTTGTGCAGTTTTTGGCCAGGGTGGGGTTTGAACCCACTACCTCTGGCATATGGGGTCAGTGCCCCACTCCTTTGAGCCACAGGTGCTGCCCAAGGGGACCTTGGGTTTTAAACTGAAAAGGATGTCTAGCTACCCACCATGAGTGTGTTTTTCTTTTCATTTGTTTTAAAAGTGGGTAACCTTCTTGCACACCATTTTCTCACTCCAAGAAGGACAGGGACAGACTGAGGCAGCTGTCCTTTCAGCCTTCTGAGGTTTGAGCAGCTGCCACGGTGTCGAACAACACCTCATTAATGTATGCCAACACTGGCTTTCTCTAGTGCAATATGACAAAAACCAAATTATCAACAGTTTCAAAACAGATTGGTTCCTCTTTTGTTTGGATTGTGTAGAAGAATTCTGACATTCTATCTTACGGAGCTGAGCATATCATGTGTATCTTTGCACAAGCACAAACTGTACTTGGCCATTTTCAATCATACCAACTGAACATCAGAATGTTTGGCAGGCGATATCTCGCTGTGATGTCAGTACACCATGTGTTTGCTTTTAATCTTACCTGAATGTCCTCGGAACGTTGTGACCAGGGTGCAGTTTTCTTGTTCCAGTTTAAGGATCGTTACTTGGCCTGAGTGGTCACCAATAAACACATGCCGGGTTTCAACATCAAATCTATCATGTAATCATTAAGGATTATTTCTCAAAATTGAATGGTCAGATTTACCATGAAAAAAAGGCATAAATGTAATAAGAAATGTGCAAATCCCATCTGAGGAAGACTTGAAGATGGGCTGAAGGACACTAAGGGGGATGTGACAAAGTGAAGGGTCTACTGCACTGCTGCACAGTAAGATTTAAGGTGCTGTATTACTGGATGGCAAGACTAAAAGATGCCACTTCTTACTACATTTATTCATAGGTTTAAAACAATCCCAATAAAAATATCAACACGTTATTTTCTAGAGCTAGGTATGTTCATTATAAAGGTCATATGGAAAAATTAATAAGACAAAAGAGCCATATATAGTCTGATAATAATAATATGGTATGTGATGAGGAGGTTAGCCTCACAGATATTAAAACATATTACAAAGTTTCTCTATTACAAGTATGGTGTTGGTACATAAATAGACTAATGAAACAAAATCTAGAAACAGGCTCAAGTATCACATAGCCAATGTCTGATAAAGGTAGCCTTTAAAATGAATAAGGAAAAGAAAAATTTTTGAAAGATGATGTTGGCAAAAACTAGACAGCCATTTGGAAATTAAAAAAAAAAAAAGCCAGAATCTGTATTTCACATTGTATACCAGAATAAATTCCAAATGATCTAGATAGGAGAGTTTCTTTACAACCCTGTAGTAGGAAAAGCTTCGACTCAACAACAAACACTGTAAGCAAAGCCAAGAGACAAACAGAAAAAAAAAACCAACTTTGCAACTTATGTCATAAAGGGCCCATATCTCTAGTATAAAAAGAGCAATCGAGAATAAAAAGATTGATTGTAAATTAATTTTAAAATTAGTATTTGAATAAGACTATGAATGGATAGTTCAAGAAGAAATGAAAATGATGCCATGTAAAAAAAAGTTAATACCGCTGGCCTGACGGCCACCCTCTGAGGGCCTGCTGACAAGCTGGCACAGTGTCTGGGAACTGGGGTTTTAGGAGGATGGCCATCATTAACTGGTAAGAGTAGCTGACTGTGCCTTAACCACACAAACAACACGGTTTATACTGGATACCTGCTTTCCTTCTGGGAGTCTGGGATTTTGAGCACATGACAGGCAGAGGCTACCTACACGACAACCCCCAGTATCTCTGGTTGACAATGCCTAGCAGTCCCATTTCTAGAGATCTGTCCCAGAGACACACTGGCATAAATACAGTGGCTATTCATGCCACAGATTTTGATAGCTAAAGTCTGAAAATTACTTGAAAATCCATCAACAGCTAACTTACTGAATTAATAACTAGGCTATATCCACACAATAGAATATTATGCCACTACAGTAAAAAATTAAGAAGATTTCCATACACGGACATGTAGTAATTTTCAAGATAGAGTATTAAGTGTGGGAAGGAAGCTAATGAGTACTTTATTAGCTATACTAGCATTTGGAAGAAAAGTGAGGGAAACAGACGTGTGTGTGCGTGTATGCACAGGTATGCATTCACGTTTAGAAAGGAAGGACTGAGATCTGACAAAAGTGGCTGCCTGTGGAGGTGGAGAAACAAGCTGAGGGCAGTGACGGGAGTGAGACTTCTCCTTGTTATAGTTCCCATTTTGGAATCCTGGATAATTTTACATACTAAAAATATATATAAAATTAAAAGAAAAAAATTCCCCAAATTGTAAACAAAGTTAAATAAATGAAACTAACTATAAAATTGGTAACATAACCATATAGTTAGAATCACTTCAAGTGACTTTAAAACACAACATTTTGAATCTACATCCTTGGTATTCTAAGGACAAAAAGAGATGCAGAGAAATCTAAAATCTTCAGGAGTCTTTCTGTTATTTTAACATTGTGTGTAACTATTCTGAAACCATTTAAATATATCATAGGATGAAATAAATAAGGAATTATGTCAGTGCTTTAGGAACCAAGATTTTCAGCCCCAAACAATCAGTACACAAATGAGGAAGCAAAATTCCCCATTAAGCTTTGAATTTTAATGAGAAATATATGAACTGATGATTTATTTTCTTGTAAAACACACACGAACATGCCCCATAAATATTTTCTCTTATCTCTGAATATTATTTCTCACTAAAAGAATAGTTGATTCCAGGACTGGGACAGGAAAAACACAGATGAGCTTAAGACAGGCTATGCCAGAAAAGCAAGGAAGGCAAGTGAGTGAGCTTGTCTCAAGGAGACCGTGGCGAGGGTGCCCAGGCAGAGCACAGAGGCTGCTGAGGGCAGGGAAGCTCCTGTACGATGCTGCAATGTTGAGAACAGGCCGTTACTCATCTTTCCAGATCCACACAATGAATGGGACCAAGAGCAGGTGACAGATCTGGGGAGGCAGTCATGTGCACTGTGGGCTCCACAGCTGAACACTGCACCACTCCAGAGGAGGGGTGGTGACAGGGCAGGAGGTCGGGGGAAATCTATACCTTCCATTCAATTCTGCCACGGTTCTAAAACTGTTGTAAAAATAGTCTTTACAAAATAAAATTTAAAAATGACACTGGGGTCCATATGATGGAGCTGGCCAAAGATGGGATAACTTGAGCATAAAATTGAAAAATGGCAATTTATTGAAATATACTGAATGCATTATTTTAAAAGAAGCAAACAGAACAATCACTAAAGAATTCATAACTCTTCTGGAGGTAACCAGGGCACTAAATCTCTACTCTGAAAATTAGACATTAAACAGAAGGAATTAAGAATTTGTCCAGCTTTTCCTATAGTAATTGTGTTTTAGGGTAACCAAATACCCCTGTTAATAAGGAAAAGTTCTACTTTAGAAGAATCACTACTAATAAAGCATCCCTACTAAAAAAGAATCCCTACTAATAAAATACAATAGTATTAGAAAGGCACCATTTTGCCAGCCTAATGAAAGAACTGATTCAGAAAAAGCTCAGCAATGAAGGAAATCATTAAAAGAAAGGGTGGTAGGAGGACGGCACTGCAGGGATGGACCGCCAGCCCCTGGCCAGGGAGCAGCTTCAGCTCGGCTGTAAGGGTGACGGCCCAGCACCATGCACCTACTCATGGCAAGAACGCGAAGCCCACAGAACAGTCCCTGCACATTCTTATAGTAAGCCAAATCTGAGAGAAACCAAGATTTTAAGGGCAACTCAGCATACAGAAAATATGGAAGAGAAACAAGTAGAGGAACAAATTAAATGATATCATGGGAAAGAAAATAAATTAATTCAGAATATGAGATGGTCGGCAGGAGAAATGATTTAGCACCTTCAACATGGTGGCTTAAAGGAAAGGGAGGAGGCATAAGACTATATGAAGAAAGGTCTAGACCAGTGGTTCTCAACTTTCCTAATGCCGTGGCCCTTTAATATAGTTCCTGAGGATTGTGACCCACAGGCTGAGAACTCCCGGTCTAGAAGATATGACAACACATGCAAGGTGTGAACCTTGTCTAGATCCAGTTTCAAACAAACCCACTGCACAAAGTCACTTTCAAAATCATCACTAAAATCTGAAAATGATTTGATTATTCAATAACATCAAGGGATGATACTAATTTTTAGACATAATAATAGCATTGTGATTACTGAAAAAATTATCCATATATTTTCAATGAAGGAGGCAAGGATGAAGTAACATAAGGTCTGGAATTTGCTTTAAAATACTCCAGCAAAAAAGAAAGAACAAAGGGACAGAGAAATGAGCAGCAGTTGTGAATGACAGGCGTATAGAGTCTGCTGCGGTGTTTCCACTTTGGTGCATGTTTCAAAAGCTTTCATAATAAACCATTAACAAAAAGTACAACAGGACAAGGCACAACAAAAGGTTATACTCTTCTAAATGGTACATTTGACGACTATAAAGAAATGAATAGAATTGTGATGGATGTGTTACTTAGTTCAATGTAAGCATTTCACATTGTATATCAAAGCAGTACACTGAACCCCATAAATGCATCAATGTACAAAGTTATGATTTGATAAAAAGTAATAAAAACAATTTTAAGGAAAAAGATCACCTTAAACTTATGAATTATAAGAATCCACAAAAAAGACTCAATTTCATATCAATAGTCTTTACAATTATTAAGTAAATAATAGTATTCTTTTGAAAAATATAAATTCAACAAAAGGTAGTTAGAACAGAGTTGAAATAGAATTATAGTAAAACTTCAAAGCCAGAGTGACTGGCATGAAGTATGATAGGAAGAAATTAAGATAATCTTAATTAACAGCCTAAGAATAGGGGGAGGGAGGAGGGAGAGGGGAGGGGGGAATGGGTGGAGGGAGGGGGATTGAGGGATCACTCCTGTGGCTTATCTCACAAGGGTACAAGTGAATCTTTCTAAGAGTAGAATATGAATGTTTTAACACAATAACTAAGAAAATGATATGAAGGCTATGTTAACTAGTTTGATGGAAGTGTTTCGGATTGTGTGTGAAAACACCACACTGTACCCCAGAAGTGCATTAATGTACATAGTTACCATTCAATTAAAAAAATTAATTAAAAAAAAGATAATCTTAATTTCAGAACTCTTCCCCTGCACAGGAATAAATCTAAGAGATTACATCAGGTGGGAAACCATTTCATTACATAGGGTGACCCTGTAATCTCTCCAACATGAATAAAATCGTAAAATGAAAAGCACTTGACTTATTCTATGAAAATGAGAAAAATAAGGTCAAAAAAATGGTCAATTCATGAAACCCTGCCAAGTGAGCCTTGATGAAATATTCATAAACTCAAGAGTAGGAGTGGCAAGTAAAGTGAGAAGGAAAACATTCCTGCCTCTACCTTCTGAGGGACCTTTGGGATAGACCTCCTTGTCTATATTGCGCTGTGCAGAGGACCAGCTGGAAAATTATAATGCCCAAGTTCCAATCCCATTTCTGCCAGGCGACAGTCACATAACCTTGAGAATTAGGTCTTCCACTTCTACTTCCGATTATCTTTTCGACAGCAAACAAAAGAATGTATGGAAGCATTTTGTAAATTCTCAGGGCCTGCAAATCTAAGATATTTTCTTCTTTTTCCTTTCCTAATCTCTCCTTTTATTCCCTATTATTTTATTCTTATTGTTACTGTCACAGGTCACTTAGGTTTTGAAGCTTCAGATCTTTCGCCAAAGCGACCAAAAATTTTAGGTTATTCATAAGTTGATAATTCAATTTGTGAAATGATCGGTCTTCTTGTCTTTTTCCATTTTCCTACTGGAATCTCCAATTCATATTTTCTTCTCTATTAAGAGGCCTGAAAGAAGAATTAAAAAAAGGCTGAATTCAATCCAATTTAATCTGTTACTTGTTGGTTTGGCTGAATGAGATGGAGAAGGGAGAGAACCAGCTCCTTTAAGCAGGTCTCTTCTCCATCCTGTTAGCTGTCTGGTCTGAAGATAAACAGGTGTACTGAAAATATTCTGAAACAGTCTATGTTTTTTCACCAGATCTTTTTCCTCCTTTCATCACTTAAAAAGAAAACGCTTTTAAGTATGGAGGGTGGCAGAAAGAAGGAAAGAGCCATGTGGGGTAGGAGGTTCCCACTAGCAAACTTCTTTTTAAACAAAGCTAATTTAAATGTGAACCCACACTGTACGGCTTGCCTATTACTGATGTGTCCATAAGCCAGCTGCTAGAAAAAACCTTCAGCGTTGAAAAAGTCACGTGCTTCTTAGCTGAGCCTCTCTGGCAAAAGTACAGCGCTATCCTGCCATCAGTGTTCAACAAACAGAAAAATACCCTACAATAAGGGTTGGCTCTGGCTCCAAAATCAGAGGTAACAAGGCAGAGCTGGCAGGAATCTCCTGGGAGTCTGCCTGCAGTGCCACAGCTCCCTTCCACCTGAACAGTGCAGTTGGCTGGTGGGCGCTGATCCTGGGTACTGACGCTCAGAGGCACGCGAGAGCACACCCACAGGCACTCCAAAACCCAACCCCAGGATTTTCTGCTTGGTGAATGAATCACATGGTGTGGCTAAAGGGCAGTCACAGAATGAGGGTGGCTTCTGGACATGCCTGAGGAAAGGAGCTGGTGGCTGTAATCTTACACCAAGACCAACACAGTTAGGCTAGTTAACTCTGTGCATATGTTACTTGAAAAAGTTGGCTTCTTGAGGGCAACATCTGTACACTGTCCCACAGTCCTTGGCATGGCTAAGGGATATAGAAGATATTTCACTAGGCTGGGCTAGTGATACAGAAGCCAGCAGAGGACCAAATTATACCTATGCCAATGGTTCTTTCCTAAAAGAATGATTAAGAATAATGGTTAAAAAAAAATCTGCATGTAATTCTATCACTCAGGGAGGCTGAGGTGGGCAAACTGCTGGATGTCAGGAGTTCAAGACCAGCCTGAGTAAGTTGAGACCCCATCACTACTAAAAATAGAAAAACTGAGCCAAGAGCATCACTTGAGCCCAGGAGTTTGAGGTTGCTGTGAGCTATAACACCACAGCACTCTACCTAGGGCAGCAAATTGAGATTTCTGTCTAAAAAAAAAAAAAAATCCAATGCAGAAGAACCCAAGAGCTGGGTTCTGGTGGGGATTTTCCCACTTACTAGCTGGGTGGCCTCAGATAAGGCACTGGGGACCCTTTCTAGGCTTTAGTTGGCTCATTTGTGAAATGGGGGGGGGGGCTACAGACTGAATTTTTTTTCTTTGAGACAGGGTTTCCATCTGTCACCCTGGCTAGAGTCAGTGGCATCATCACAGCTCACTGCAACCTCAAACTCCTAGACTCTAACAAATACTCCTGCCTCAGTCTTCTGAGCAGCTGGGACTACAGGTGTGTCACTAGGCCCAACTATTTTATTTTATTTTTTTGTAGAGATGGGAGGTTTTGCTCTGTTGTCCAGGCCAGTCTTAAACTCTGAGGCTTGAACGATCTCCTGTCTGAACCTCCCAAAATAGGATTACAGCCAAGAGTTACCACACCCAGCCTAAATTAAAAAAAAAAAATTAAGTGACAAATAAAAATTGTACATATTCAAGGTGTATAACTTGATAATTTGATATAGATACACTGTATAATGATTAGCACGGTCAAATTAATTAACACATTCCTCACCACTCACAGCAACAATTTGCATGTGTGTGTAAGGAAGACTGAATGTTCACACCCCTTTAAAATCCAAATGTTGAGACCTAATCGCCAATGTGGTGGTATCTGGAGGTGGAGCCTGTGATTAGGTCATGAGAGAGGCCACAGGGAGAAGACAGTCATCTAAGAAGCAAGTAACGAGCCCTCACCAGACACTGAATCTGCTGGTGCCTTGACCCTGGCTTTCCTGGTCTTCAGAGTATAAGAAATAAATTTCTGTTGTTTATAAGACAGCCTGTCTAGTGTAATTTGTTGTAGCTCCCTAGACAGACTGAGATGGGGGGCGGGACTGGGTGGTACCAGTGCCCTTCCACTCTAACTCTGCAGCACCATCACTGTGTTAGTCAGAGTTCACAGATCCCATTCAAGCACTGTGCTCATCTGAACTGGCTTATAGAAAGCAAAGTTTGGACCTTCTCTTATTAACGGGAGGTACTACCCTCTCAAAGATAAGCTCATCTTGCTTTCCAATCGTCCTTGCCTCTGGCCTTCTTGGTTACTTGCCACTTTCACAATGGTCATTGTTACATTTTTCCACCTTGGCCTTCCAGTGAGAAACATAAGAATGACATTAGCCTATGTAACTGCTGCCACACAGCTGCAAAAATTGTGCAACGTGCCTTGTTGTATTGTTGAGAATCATTGAACAGGCACTTTGCAAACATGGAGATGGAATTAGAAAGCCAGCTTTACCGTTTCTGAGCTTTGTCAGAACGTGGAGAGACTGAGAACCTCAGGGTCCTCTGCTCCCCTGATGACAGCTTCACCCATTCACTGTGGGTCAGCACTGTGTTGGAGCCCAGTGGGCTGGATGTGAGAATTTCCAGTATCAACAAGGGTCTACCCTGAGCACATGGACCCTAGCCACTTGAGAGACAAGACTATCATTCCACAAATCCTGGAAGAGCTTCATCCCTGGAACAAAGCTTGAGCATACCCAGCTGACCTACTCTGGCGCTGGCCTGGTAGCCACTCAAAAACTATTTTTAAAATGAATAGGAACCCTGCGGTTCTTTTCCCAGGCATCAGAGGGAAAGGATAAGGTTCACAACCTTAATATCTACATGTAAATTACTTCTGCAGGTAAACCAAAGGGTGGATTTTGGTGATGATTTCACCTCCATGTACTGCAATTCTGACAGCTGAGGTTCACAGGTCTGGACTGTGTCCTGTCTAGATGTCAGACCCTGGGGGGTCACAGAACACATATATGGCAGGGCCTGTTATTTCAAGTAAAACTACCTCACTCCACTGCCACCAGGGACCTCAATGACTATGCTGTAGGAAGTCACTGCATCGCACAGAGCAACTCAGCAAACAACAAAGCCTTTCAAGCTGAACATGCCCTCTGATGTCATGAAGCAAAGAGGTCAGCAGCCACGTTCCCACCAAGAAATTTTGTCCAGCAAAGGATACTGCAGACCCGAGGCCACGGCGCTAGTGCGATAACCTCCCAGGCGTTGCCCACTCTCAGAGCAGTGCCAGGCAAACTGCTTGTCCTGTCCTGTGCTCAGCACCCACTCCAGCTCCAGGACAAACAGGATCATCGTCACTCTGCTCTGATGTGCTAAAAATAAAGAGAAAAAGAAAACAGCCTATAAAACATGCAAAGAAGGCGGGAAAGGTGCGGTCCTCAGGGACATATGGCTTTCTTCTGCCTTCCAGGGTAAGCTGGACAGTACAACCATTTCAAGGACATGGTGGAACTTCCGTTCTCATTGGGACTAGGGGTAAGCTTCTATAGGCAGGTGTGTCTAGGGTTTTTTCCACAATTTTTAAAACAAACTATCCATCTCTTTCCAATGTTCCCTCTACTCAACTTGTGCCAATCCCAGGCCTGCCAGAAAGCTCCCACTCCACCACCAGGGCATAAGCCTCCTCCCTCAGACATGCTCCGGCTGCTGGGTGAGAATGTCAGACCCAGTGTGACCCCAGAACACACTGGGAACAACGCTCATATAATATAGGCCAGTACGACCCCAAAACACACTGGGAACAACATTCATATAATATAGCCACTGTGGTCAGTGTGTGTGCACTCACAAAAAATAAAGGGCATACTATTTTTTTTTTTTTATTAAGTCTGTCTTATAAACAAACATATAACAAAGTTCTAGATGAAGAACTTTCTGTAAGAAATTAAATGCATGGAAAGGAGAGAATTATTCCCAAGTGCCATATAAAACAGAATGAAAATATCCCTTATGCCAAAGTGCATGTGTGTGTGTAAGCAAATGATAATGAGAACACATTCCTACAGTTGTTCCTATGTCACCACAGCCGTTGCATTGTGCTATTTCACAGTTACAAGAGACCAATCCTGTCACCTAGCTGATCTCCCCATTTTACACATGGGCAAAGTGAGGCACAGTGAAGTTAAGTAGTTTGGCTAAGGTCTTGGGGCTTCTCAGTTACTGAACGGAATCAGCCAGGATTCTGGCTGACTTATTATTACACATTTCTAGGCACTGAGATGGAAGGTCTCTGTGGTCACCAAACAGAGTGTATTGAAATGAATGAAAACAGATATCCTACAGCCTGGACCTTCCTGAGCCCTGCTCCTAGGGGCTAACAGTCTGATGGAGCATGAGTTTCATTCTGATCACGACAGCAGAGTTAGGCAGTATGGACGGGAAAATGCAGCTCTGCTGGCAGTAACAGTACACGTATTAACTGCCAGCTGCTGAGTGTTTAACAAGTGCCAGGTACTTAAATAACATCCTCTAACTTAATCATAACCCTGTCCCTGATTTCCTCATTTTACACCAATCCAACTGTAGCAAGCTGGCCCTTTCAGATTGGCTACCATGTAAAAGTCAGAACCAGCATGAATTCCCATAAGACAGTCATTCAATAAACACTGTATGTTTTAACATCTGCTATTTGAAGTGCAGAGACTCTTAAGAGGATAGGGAAGCTACACTACTATGAACATTCAACTATACAGACCTGCCTTTCAAAGTACCAGTCGCCATCAAGATAAAAACATAGGCTTTTAACTAAAAGATGTGATTTCTTAGAAAACTCTTAAAGATCTTTTCATTTCTCTTATCAATGGTCCAATTCAAGTTACACCAGTGATGGAATGAAAATGAACTCTCAAATGAGTATAAGTGTACCCAAATCTATTTTAGGCAGGATGCAGCCCCTAGTACCTCAGCTCATTTTCTTGTTAAGGGGACTTCATCTTTCTATCTGTCACCTTCCAAGTCCAAGAGGATAATACCTCTAGAAGATCAGGGGGTTAGCCCTCTGAGTGGCTGCACAGGGCTAAGTGCTAGAGGACACAGAGGCTAGACATGGGAAGTGGCTTGCTCAAAGGTCCTAAACAATGTGGGACAAAGCTGGAATCAAAACAGCCTACTGCTACTGTTGCTTCTCTTTCTCAGTGTCAGGTTGTCTATGAGAATAGGAAAAAACAAAAAACAAAACACACTAGTCTCAAAGTACATACCCTTTCTATGGTGAAAGAATTATTTTATTCAAAAGAAACCCTTTAGGCCAGTTGTGGTGGCTCACACCTGTAATCCTAGCACACTGGGAGGTGGAGGCAGGAGGATCATTTGAGCTCAGGAGTTCAAGACCAGCCTGAGTAAGAGTGAGACTCCACAGCAACAAAAAATAGGAAAAATTAGTTGGGCCTGGTAATGCAGGCCTTTAGTCCCAGCTACTTGGGAGGCTGAGGCAGGAGATCACCCGAGCCAGGAGTTTGAGCTTGCTGTGAGCTATGCACACTAGGCCAGGTAACAGAGCAAGTATGTATGATGTTACTTAACATTTTTGCAGATGTTTCTTTATCAAGTTGAAGAAGTTCACCTTTATTCATAGTTTGCTGAGAATATTTTATTATGAATTAAGTTTTATCAAATGCTTTTTCTAAATTAATTGATATGACATGATTTTTCTTGTTCAGCCTTTTGATATGCTAGATTACACTGATGTTTTTAACATTAAACCAGCTTTGCACATGTGGAACAAATACTACTTAGTTGTGCTGTACAATTATTTTTATACATTGTTGGATTTGATTTGCTGATTTTCTGGGAGGATTTTTCCATCTATTTTCATGAGAGATATTATTGGTCTGTAGTTTTCCTTTCTTGTAATGCCTTCTTTTTAAATTTTTATTAAATCATAGCTGTGTACACTAATAGAATCATGGGGTACAATGTGCTGGTTTTATATACCATTTGAAATATTTTCATCAAACAGGTTAACATAGCCTTCACGGTATTTTCTTAGTTATTGTGTTTAGACATTTATATTCTACACCTAGTAAATTTCACACGTATGCTTGTAAGGTGCAAGGTAGGTGTGGTCCCACCAATTACCCTCCCTCCACTCATCCTCCACCTTCCCCTCCTCTCCCTTTCCCCTTTCCCCATCTTCTTGGGCTATAATTTGGTAAGAAAGCTATAAGTTGGTTTCATAGTAGGGCTGAGTACATTGCATACTTTTTCTTCCATTCTTGAGATACTCTGATAAGAAGAATATGTTCCAGCTCCATCAATGTAAACATGAAAGAGCTAAAGGCTCCATCTTTCTTTAAGGCTGCATAATATTCCATGGTGTACATAAACCACAATTTATTAATCCATTTGTGGGTCAATGGGCACTTGGGCTTCTTCCGTGGCTTAGCAATTACAAATATCTTTGTTATAATGTGATTTTTGCTCTTTCTCTCCTAGTAGAGAAATTATAGGATCAAACAGCAGGTCTATTTTTAGTTCTCTAAGTGTTCTCCAAACATCTTTCCAAAAGGAACCTCCTAGTTTGCATTCCCACCAGCAGTATACAAGTGTTCCCTTTTCTCCACATCCATGCCAGCATCTCTGGTTTCAGGATTTTGTGATATGGGCTAATCTTACTGGAATTAGATGATATCTCAAAGTAGTTTTGATTTGCATTTCTCTGATGATTAAGGATGATGAGCATTTTTTCATATGGCTGTAGGCCATGCGCCTATCTTCTTTAGAGAAGTTTCTCTTCAAGTCCCTTGCCCACCTTCAGAAGGGATCACTTGTTCTTTTCTTGCTAATACATTTGAGTTCTCTGTAGATTCTGGTTATTAAACCTTTGTTGGAGACATAACCTGCAAATATCTTTTCCCATTCTTCACATTAATTGAGAATATTGATAAGCCTGGCAGAATTTCAGGTATCAAGTTTTTTGAAAGTCCAGTGGACATTATTAATCCTTTCGCCACTGTGGAAGCTGGGATTTGATCAAAAGTTTCTGAGTGAGTTTACTTTTGTGGTGGAGGATTGCACTGGGCATTATGGAGGATAGGTCTGAGAATATCCTGGAGTGCTGGTTTAGTTATGGCAAATTTCTTCAACATGTGAATGTCATTAAAGTATTTAAATTCTCCATCATAAATGAAACTCAGTTTAGCTTGATACAGGATCCTGGGTTGAAAGTTGTTTTGTTTTAGGAGATGAAAAGTTGATGACCACCCTCTTCTGGCTTGAAAGGTTTCAGCAGAGAGATCTGCAGTCATTCTAATATTCTTCCCCTTGGAGGTTTTGGTTTTCTTACATCTGGCTGCTTTCAGAATTTTCTCCTTCATATTAACTTTAGTGGGGTTAATTATGATGTGACTGGGGTATGTCTTATTCGAGTTGAGTCATGCTGGGGTTCAGAAACTGTCTGCTATCGAAACTTCAGAATCTCTTGGCATGTCTGGAAAGTTCTTTTCATAATCTCATGAAAAAGGGCCTCTGTGCCTTGCAAAGCAACTTCGTCGCCTTCAGGGATTCCTATAAGGCAAATACTAGTTTTCTTCAAATAATCCCAGAGCTCTCTGAGAGAATGATACATTTTTGTTCTCCATTTCTCTTTCTCTTTGAGAGTTTGAGAACATTCAAAAGCTTTGTCTTCAATGTCAGAAATCCTTTCTTCTGCTTGCTCCATTCTGTTACTGAGGGATTCTACTGTGATTCTCACATCTTTGAGGGCTTCAAATTCTTATCTCAATGTGTCAAAATCTTTGATGATTTTGTCTTTGAATTCAATTAAAGACAATTCAGTTGAATTCAATCCAACTAAACTGAGTTTCATTTATGATGGAGAATTTAAATACTTTAATGACATTCACATGTTGAAGAAATTTGTCGTAACTAAACCAGCTCTCCAGGATATTCTCAGACCTATCCTCCATAATGCCCAGTGCAATCCTCCACCACAAAAGTAAACTGAATTCAAAGAATTTCAAAGGTTTAAAATGCTTCTTGAATTTCTAATTCCATCCTTACCTTCATTCTATTAATCTTATTTGCAATCCACATTCTGAATTTGATTTCTGACATCTCAACCATTTATTATTATATTGAGATTATTATTATCTCAACTATTCTATTATGCAGGGGATCTTCAGTATGTCTGCCATATCGTTCCTTGCGGGAGTTGATCTACTCTGGTTATTCATGTTACCAGAGTTTTTCCACTGATTCCACCCCATGATTATGGTACATGTTTGGTTAGATGAGCAGATAAGGTGAAGTGGGTGGGGGACTCCTGGAGTAGTGATTAGCCCTTTGCCCAAGAGCTGGGACTGGTGCCTGTACC